ACTTTTTAGATTTTTATATTATAAGACAAAGATGTACGATTCCAAAAGAGATGTTACTATACCACTTAAAGATAAAACGGCAAATGAAAAAGTTGAAATGAGTAAGACAATTGAAAAAAATAAAATTCTTAGAACATCTTCACCTTCTGGTGAAATATAAACAAAATACCTAATATCATTTCTTTATATTTTAATTGAAGCTATGTATGAAAGGAGAGTAACAAGCAAGCAATAATCCATACAACACTGATCGGTCCCCTAGTAAGATATTGGTTTTTTTATATGTGATGGTTTAGAAACCATTTAATCCTAACTAAGGTATATAGAATTGGAAGGGAAATATTATTTCTATACAGTGGGAAAATGGGTGGGAATATTTATAGAATTATTGGGATTTGAATATTATTTCTACAGAGGGGGCAGGTTCTATGGTCTTCCAACCACTCTTTTATACATATTTTACAGAATATGTGGTAACATCGTAAGACCACATTTTTATCTGTTGTTGCTAAACAAATCGGACAATCTATACATATATTTGATTCTGTATAAGATTTAGGAATATTTTGTTTGACAAATTCACTTATTAGAATACCCCTTGTAAGATATATTTTAAAATCTATCCATTTATAAAATTTAATCAAATCAAGGTCGATTATGTTTTGATATAATGAAATAGTAGGCCAATCTAATGTGTTTTTAAATATTTCCAAAAGAAAAGAATCTAAATGTTGATACCTGCTTATAAGATGTCCAAATTGATTTTTAAAATACTCTTCCCCTGAATCTAATCTTGAGTATATATATATAATTTGCTCTTTTGATAATTCTTGGAATTGTAATAAATTTGGCCATATTTGTTGTTGGTTTGCTTTATCATTTATTAAAATCCAACTTATAAAATCTTTGGATAACTTTTTGTTTCTCAACAATATATTAAGATTGATTTTATAATAATGTTTCCATAAATAACGTTCAGGGACATTTTGATAGTAAATTAGAACATCCCAATTAATTTGATCTTTAAGGTGGGTTAGAATTACATCAGATAGGTTTTGGTGTTTAACCAAAAGACGAAAATCAAACTTATTGAAAAATTCAATAATATTACAAGAATTTAAAGTTTGGAATTTTACCACTTCATTGAAGTTAATTTTGTTAATAAATGTTTTCATAAACTTTTTAGAAAAACACTCATTTTTGTAAAGTTTTTTCCAATCATGTTGAGACATTTCTAATAGTCTCTGTTTTACAATATTGAATTTTTGTTGTATTAAGATTTGGAATTTTCTATCAGACATTTCCCTTTCTAAGGTGTTATACAAATCATATATATCTTTTGGACCATTTAAACGACTAACAAAATCAACTACACTCTCTACTGTTATTAAATTATTCATAATTTTCCAAATAATCAATCTTCTACCAATCTGTGGAGTAAATTCCACACCTAAATTTTTGGCGTAATTTTTTAAATTGTTCAAAGTAAGCCTTTCCATATTTACAATTAAATAAACAAAAGATTGAATGAAATCAATATCTTACACTTGTCTGATTTTACTAGGTACACTGTTATAATTTTTAAAACTTCTCCCAACTGATTTTTACAACTTATTTGGACTGGTAATGTCTGATCTCACTAGGTACACTGCTACACTTTCTAAAATTTCCTCCAACTGACCAGAGTCAGGTTGTTTGTTTAGACTGATAAGTTAATAAAAAAGTTTCTTAATTATATTTCTCCGTGGTTTTGAATTTAAAAAGTTTTAGAGAAATTTACAAACCCTCCCCCTCAGGCACTATTACCTCTCAAACCCAATATCAGAATTGAAAATTATAATTCATTTGCATACATAGATATCATAAATATTAATTTTTATGATTATTTTCATAATTAAATATAATATCAAATAACAGATAAATATTAAAATATAAAGAAATGGTATTTGGTATTTTATTTATATTTCACTAGATGTTTGAAATGTTCTAAGAGTTTTATTTTTTTCAATTGTCTTACTCATTTCAACTTTTTCATTTACCTTTTTATCTTTAAGTGGTATAGTAAAATCTCTTTTGGAACCGTACATCTTTATCTCCAAGCATTAGTTTTATATTTTAATCCTATTCATTTCAACTTTTTCATTTGCCTTTTTATCTTTAAGTGGTATAGTAAAATCTCTTTTGAAACCGTACATCTTTGTCTCTAAACATTAGTTTTATATTTTAATAACTGTTCCTTTAGATGTACCTTTGGAAATTGGGATTTAATGTTTATGTAAATATGAAAAACTTATAAACATTTGAGATTTTTTATAATGTCCCTCTGAATAAAATCCAGTTGTGGATACTCTAAAAATACAAGGATATTTGTTATATTATCCATATAGAAATTCTCCTTTTAAATGTTAGAACTCTTCAAAGATTATTTTCTGATAAAGAGTTGATAACTAAATCTGTAATATACTAAAGAATCTTGGAGACAAGTGTGAGCTTGGATGAAGTGTTATATCCTAGTGTTTATACCTAGATCCACCTAACTCCTACTTAATCTATAAGTATAAAAGAGGATGTTTGTATGTATATATATATATATTTGGCAGTGATAAACTCAGACACCGCTGAATCGATTGCCACAAAACTTGGTACATACGTGTAGAATTTCATGGAATAGGTTTATACACCATCAATTTCGTGATCCGTCCAATCAGCTCTGCCCCAGTGGCTCTGGAGTTTCCCATGTTAACCTTATGAGAAATGGAATTAATGAATCTTAACAGTGGTTTCAATTAAACAAGTTGGTTCTGTTTTATGATGTTCAATAGCATTAAAATTACAATGATTACCAACAGGGTGTAGCACTATTATTTCTTTTATATTTATGACAACAGCTAATTTGCAACCAAAAGGTGAGTGAGCATAGCGAACGAACTTCAACCTGGAGGCAAGTTAGCGTAGGTAACAAGCTAACCTGAAGGCAAGTGAGCGCAGCAAATGAGCTCCAATTTAAAGGTGAGTGAGCATAGCGAACGAGCTCCAACCTGAAGGTGAGTGAGCATAGCGAACAAACTTCAACCAGGACGTGATTGAGCTGAATAGAAAGACCAAAAATATTGTCTACCCACTAGCATTAATATAAGAGCAATAATAAAGAATTGGTTATCCTTTGTACTATATGTGTTTCATTAGTTGTCGTACGTATTTTAATTTAGTTATTAGCACTTCATATACAATAAGACAATTAAACGTAACGGTACTTAAATTATAAATAGTCAAAGGCAAGACATTGTCTGCCGGGTTCAGCTAGTAATATATAAAACATTTAAACAAATCAAACAAAATTTACTGAGTAATTAATAAGGTAAATAATTAACAAATTTCAATATTGATTCAAACAATAAAGGAATTTTATTCCATAGTTGTATTACAAAAAATTTTTATAAAATAATGAGATGAGATTTTATTTCATTTTCATTTTTATAATTCCAATTAATTAATACCTATCCTCAAAAAGATACACACAACATCTCCCATTGAATAGATCCCATTTTATGAGTGACTACAAATCTTGGATTACTTCAGTATTGGGATTACAATAACCCTGATTAAAACATGAACCCAAAATTACAATCTAAAAGAGAAAAGAAAATTGTCATTGATATTTTAAAAATTTTTCTTGTAAAGTCAAAGTTTTCTAAATTTAATCCAAAATATGTGTTACAAATTGAAAAATGTATTTTATTTTTCATAAATAGTTTTCTACCACAAGAAATAGAATTAGTTTAGGGAAAAGTTAAAAAAAAAGAAAATATATTAAGAAAAAGTCAGTAGAACAGTAGAGAATCATAATTTATATATATCACAGAAAATAAATTCTTCATTATAGAAATATGATGCTCCTGCTATACAAACCTGATACGTTTTTACATAGTATGTTTGTAGCTTAAAAAGTAGTAATTCTAATTTATCTATGAATATTATAAAATAATTTGGATATGGAATTCTTTATATTGAAATAATAATAGCATTAAAAATTCTTATTTCAAGTTATAAGCTGTTAAGATTCAATAATTCCATTTCTCATAAGGTTAACATGGGAAACTCCAGAGCCACTGGGGCGGAGCCCGAAAGGATTTTTGAAATAAGAATATGCCTATATGTTAATCGGGAATGTGAGCTATCATCATGCCAAATTTCAACCCAATCCGACCAGTATTTTTCAAGTTTTAGCCACTGGGGCGGAGCCTGAAAGGATTTTTGAAATAAGAATATACCTATATGTTAATCGGGAATATGAGCTATCATCATGCCGAATTTCAGTCCAATCCGACCAGTAGTTTTCGCGTTTACTTTTTCCATACACACAGACACCACCTCTTTTTTATAATAGTATAGATAGTAATAAATAAAATTGATTCAGCAATTCATTGGACTAAAAATCACCAAGTGAAACTAAATCACAAAATGTTATTCAGTTTTTTATAAGATAAAAATAAGTTGTGTTTTGGAACAGTGAATTATTATAACTAAAATTGATTTGGTGATTTATTTAACTAAAAATCACAGATTGTTCATTGTCTATTATTTGACAATATTCTGTCTGTGGTTCCGTTCATTTAGTTCCGAAAAAATCCAACAGACTGCGTTGGCATGTCTTCTTGAGAGAAGGCAGAGGGTGACGTTAGACTTATGGTTTTGCGGTATTTACTCAGGAGAGGGATAGAAGAGGCTACGATGACAGCTGAGGGCTTCTTATTAGCTGAGGGAACGCCATTACCGTAACAAAACGTTTTATAGCCATCGGCCTCGGTGGTTTAATGGTTAGCGTGCCGGGCTATTTTTGCGATTAGTAAACCTTTATTACCAAAGTGCTCTCTACTACAGCGCTGTTCACGGAGGAATTCTGAACTAAATGCCTCATTTGTACCTCCCCTAAGTCAGACCCTGGTTTTGCGCTGTTATAACGCACGTCAGCTGTTCTAGATGGCATCACATTACATAAATCCAGTTTCTTTATGTTGGCTAACCTGATTATATCCAAACTCCAAACTTATTTTGGTTTGGTCGTCGTGTCATCAAAAGGGCTTAACTGAAAATTATGGACAAAAATCCCATGGTTACTTGTAAGTAAGTATACAAACTACAGTAGACTAGATTAGAGTGGTTATACAATAAGTTACCTTCACTATTTCCTTGGCCTATGTAATGGTTAGACCTATATTAATATCAAGAATTTATAGTCGATCAATACTATCAAGCACACTCCCAGTAATTTTGTAAACCTATAGGTAGGCTTAGGCCTATTTCTTGCTTACAGTTGTTTCAATGTTCTTAGATTTTAGTTGTAGGCTCAAACTAGGGGTTATTTTGGAACACAGTTTCTTAACTGTATGCTAATATCTTCGATTCGATTAGTAAGTTAAACCTTCATGCGATTTTTTTCACCATCAGCAAGTTTGGTTGGTTAGGTTAGGTTATGATGGTTTAATTTTATAATAGATATATTTTAAAGTAGCCTATCGACTATTAATTAATATTTTCAATTCGATAGTTTCAATCGATATTAGCATAGCCCAGTTAAGAAACTGTACCCGTTATTTTTTATGAGAATGCGTTTGTTAAACTACGCCTAGGCCTAATTGTTCCCTCACATGATCTGGTCAATACTGGTTTAATTTGACTAGGTTCTTGAAGAAATCTCAAGAAATTGCTCGCATTACTAAGTTATGGGCCTACCCTTTCAAACAATAATTTAGCCCTCCGAATGTTAAGCATCGCTTAATTGACACACAACACGGCCACCGTGGTTTAATACTTTTGTGACCTTAGTTTAAATGTGCACAAATTATACTTAAGTTAATAGCCCGTGACTTCAGAAGTTGGCAAACAAAGCACACAAATTCACATTCATATCTCAAGACAAATTAAAATCCTTTTCCACCAACATTTGTTCTTATCACATTAACTCTGTGGGCTATAAATTTAAGTAACTAAGAAGCATATTTGCCACATTCAAGAAATTTATCTGAGAGAAATCGTTATCAAAATATAAGTTAGGTTAAATTTCTCTTTTAGTTTCAGACAAAGATCTTGCTCTACCTTCTTCTAGAGTTACAAGATGGAATAAACTCAAATAAACTTACTGTACCTCTATTTGGGCAGTAGCCTAAATAAGTTAACCTCAATGACGAAGACAAGACAACAAGTATTCAAGTAAGTTAGGCCTTAGTAATTAGGCCTTAGGCCTTAGTAGTCCAGGCCTAGGTACCTAACTTACCTATGTTGTTCCTAAGAAAAATCTTGAAAACAATTTAGACCTAGGCCTAGTTATAATACAACTTTAAATTTTAACTCGTTGAAATTTAGTTTAAATTAATTGTGCTTAATGCCAGATTTTGCTCAAGTTTAAATTTAGTTTAAATTAATTGTGCTCAATGCCAGATTTTGCTTAATTGTGTGTTATTATTGTGGCCTACATCCTTTTTAAAGTGAAATTTGTCCCTTTATCTCTTGTAGAAAGTTTTTTGTTACTGGTATTTGTAAGTAGGCCTAGGTGTATGTCACTCAGACTAAATCTTTTAGGCTATATTTTCCCTAGCTACTTTTTTAGACTAGGCTTGGACATAATTAGATAGTTTTAGTGCTTATATACATCCCCTGAAATTTTCATTTGGTTTAGTTGGTAAATTTCTGAGTTAAAGAGTAATTTTAGGGTAGTGCATTTCTGAAAACCAAGTAACTATTAAGTTTAAGGTAAATAACCCTAATACCGGCAGTGCCCCAAATACCGGTAGCGCAGTAGTGACTTCTATGTCATTTAAGTTAACAATACTCTATGAACTAGTTATCTTATTTGTTATTGGCTGTTAGATCAACTATTACCAACTTAAGGTCTATACACAGGGTGCCGGTATTAGGCTGGTGGATGCCGGAATCAGGGTTGTGCCATGCCGGAATTGGGCAAAGGAGGTAAAATAAGGTACCTAAAGTATATCTCTTATATACAATTTATTTTAAGAAATATTTTGATAAAAAGTGTTTTTTTATCCTAGAAATGTGTAGGTCTGTATAAAATCAGTCTAAACTTGAATATCTCAAATCGTGGATAAATGATAAATGATTTATTCAGCCATTCAGTATTTACAAATATACAATAGGCATTGTCAAAAAACAGCCAAAATAAACAATACAGAAAGCTGCAATTATAAGTACTTAAAGAGTTGGAACATATATATATATCAACTGTTTTGAGTATTTCTTTAGATGTTTTAATTAAATTTATACTTTACAAGTTGTCTGGGCCAAATCAAATGACTTTAATTAGCCTAACTAAAGAGGTTTCAACTTTTCAACTAAATTAAGAGTTGAATAAAACGGTAAAAAACTAATCAAACAAACACTTAATAGCCATACCCATAGTCCTTATGGGCTATAGTATAGATTTATTTTATGTCATAGATGATTTTTGCAGAGCTATGATGTAGTTCTTGGCCAGTGTTAGGGTTTCTATCTTTGAAAGGTGCTGTTCCTTCTTCACATGAGGAATTACCTCTCGTAATGACTGAAAATAAACAAAACTATAATTAACAATAATTATATCCGTTGTCTAAAAATACATACTAAGAAGAAATATCTTTCACTTTCCCTGATCCTGAAAGGTGATATTTCAATGTGAAATAAATAGAATATTAACCAAACTATGTTTTCCGATAGGCTAATTAATTGTAAAATAGGGGTATAGTTTTTAACTGGGCTAGGCCTATGCTAATATCGATTGAAACTATTGATTTAATTAGTCACCATGCAATTTTTCTTTTGTGTGATTTTTTCACCATCAGCAAGTTTGGTTGGTTAGGTTAGGTTGTGATAGTTAAATTTTATAGTAGATATATTTAAAAATATCGATTGTTAATCAATATTTTCAATTCAATAGTTTCAATTAGTATTAGCATAGCCTAGCCCAGATAAGAAACTGTACCCTAAAATAGTTCTGTTTTGTTTAAAATATGTAAGATAGGCGTCTAGTCTTGGACCTAAGGCCTTGGGCCCTTTTCATGTTAAAGTTTGCAAGGTGAGACACCTCCCCCCACATAGTAAATATTGTATATCATTTATGCCATATGTTTTGGGGTTTATATAGGGCTGGTATTCTGGTCTACTGCTGACTGCCCAAGAGACTGGTGGAGTGTGCTTGGACATGGAGAGCAGCCTATTCTAGACACAGCTAGACTTAGGCCTACCTTGGTCTAAGCAGACTTGTGAACCCCCCCCTGAGTCTGAGGGACTTCATGATCAGATAACAACTATCTTTTTATCAACTATTAGTTTTCTTTTTTGTCATAAGAAAAACTTGCCTCTTCAAGGATGAAGAGGTCACATTAGTTAGCAATAGATGTGGTAACAACAGATGCCAAAGAATGTAGGTGTAATTTTACCACAATTAAAGCTTAAAATAACAATTCAAAGATTACTATTCCATTGCTTATTGATTATTTATTTACTAAATAGTCTAATATTTTTAGTATTATTATATTTTTGGATTGGTTGACAGCCAAGACTAGTTTGATCCATTTTGCAATTATTGCATAGATAAACTCTGTTAATACTTTAATTATAAAAAGAATATTATAAGTTACCTGGAAGGCGTCCTTCAAGTTTTGCCTTCTCACTTTTTCTCGTTTGTTTCTAATGTATTTCTCCCTTGTGTTCAGTTTTCTTTTCTGGCCAACACCTGTTGTCATTAATTCTTTCAAACCTGCCTCGTCAAATATCTGTAAAATAATGAATTTCCTCAACCTTCAATGGTATTTAGAAAAATATTATAGACTAGTTAGGCTGTGTTAAGTTTGTTAAAACAAACTTTTGTTTAAATACTTAAAATACAATTATATACAATGTAGTTTGGGTTTTTTCTTTGAGATATAGAATTTGTGATTCTGTTATAAAAACGTTTGTCACAGTTAAAAGGCTGCCCCAATTATTCATCATGGAACTGATCACTCCATGTTAATATATATACTGTTTGACGCATCACAGTGGACCGAATATAGTATCCAGCGGAGTTTAATTGTGTTGGACACCCTAAAACTATAATCAACGCTAGTATGGTGAGCGAGCTTTTGAACAAGTCAGGATAACCAATCAGAGTAGTGGTTAGGTTAGGTTGTCCAAAAAGAAGAAATTATATATTTAGTAGTTTTTAGAAATTTTTGTCATTCTTGGCCTAGGCCTACCTTGTACTTGTTCATCATGCTTTTGTTCATATGTAGTTCAGTGTTTTAAATATTTCTTGTTTAGCTTAGAAAATGTAATCAACCTACGCTCTCTAAATTAAATATAAAAAATGTATTTTGTAAATTATTTAGGCTACTTTGTAAATGTCAGAAACCAAATTGTTGCTCAGTTGTTCTAAGATAGGCCTAACTTGAGGCAAGAACAGTTTAAGACCTAGTTTCACTTACTGTTAATGACCTTTTATCATAACAACTACAAAATGGATTAAAATTTCAGTTAATCAAGGCCTAGCCTTTATGGAACACATGTCTTAACTAGAACAGAAATTATTCATGAGGAATTACAGGGTGTATGTTCTGGCCTGCAAGAGTTCCAACCTACGTCTTATGAGAGATCCTACCTATGGCTTGTGAGAGATCCAACCTACTGCTGGAGAGATGTTACCAGAATTGGCCCACTTACAACCTTGGCCCATCTGACATTGTACCTGGCTGTGGACCTGGACCACGTCCACCCCTACCACCTGTCACCGCAGCGGACCTCCACTGTCTGATAAGTCCTAGGCTAGCCTTTATCATAACTTCCATCTGACTACAGTTCAACTATCCCTACTAAATCAACAAAGAACATTGCATGTAGCATTTTGATTGATTATTATTTCGTACCGGATATTTGAGTCAGGCTTGTCTGTTCAAAATATTAACTTGTAATAAACCTTCACTTATTTTATCATATCTTGTGTCATTTTTTGAAAACCAGTGCATTTGTCATAGTGTATTATAGTGGGTGTAGGTGGGTCAACCCCTGAAGTATCTAGTTTTATTCACAATTTTCTCTAAATTTAAACCCATCCCAACACTAAGTCAACATAGATTTTAGGGACCTGTCGAACCTCATGGTATATAGGAACATAGGTTAAGACACTCAATACTACAGAGATCTGCAAAATCTGTTACCATCCTGGAGCTGGAATGTTCCCAGTTTATCAACCAGTATCATACCCCAAAACTGGGTGGCACCCTGCAGCATCACTGAAGTACTTGGTTATTACCCTGGTTCATAGGTTACCTATACTATACACAGTTCTGCCCATGACCCGTCACTGACTGAGACCTAGCCGTGGGGTGTGTCATTTCTCTTGAACTTAGTGCAAGAGGGTTGGTTGATATATTTACAAATATATCAGGGGTTTGGATCACTTCCCCTTATAGATATTTGTTATCTCTAAAGTTTGAAGTATAGATTCAAATAAAGATACTCACTGAAGAGGTGTCTGATGTATCACTATCATTATCAGATTCAGACGTGTTAGTTGCCATTAGTTCTTTAAACCATGCCTCGTCAAATATCTGTAAAATAATGAATTTCCTCAACCTTCAATGGTATTTAGAAAAATATTATAGACTAGTTAGGCTGTGTTAAGTTTGTTAAAACAAACTTTTGTTTAAATACTTAAAATACAATTAGCCTACATACAATGTAGTTTGGGTTTTTTCTTTGAGATTTAGAATTTGTGATTCTGTTATAAAAACTATACACAACATCTTGAACTTTGTACAAGAGGGTTGGTTTATATATTTACAAATATATCAGGGGTTTGGATCACTTCCCCTTATAGATATTTGTTATCTCTAAAGTTTGAAGTATAGATTCAGTTTAGGTTTTTTCTTTGAGATTTAGAATTTGTGATTCTGTTATAAAAACTATACACAACATCTTAAACTTTGTACAAGAGGGTTGGTTTATATATTTACAAATATATCAGGGGTTTGGATCACTTCCCCTTATAGATATTTGTTATCTCTAAAGTTTGAAGTATAGATTCAAATAAAGATACTCACTGAAGAGGTGTCTGATGTATCACTATCACTACCAGATCCAGACGTTGTCAATCGTTCTTTAACACCTGTCCCGTCAAATTTCTGTAAAATAATGAATTTCCTCAACCTTCAATGGTATTTAGAAAAATATTATAGACTAGTTAGGCTGTATTAAATTTATTAAAACAAACTTTTGTTTAAATACTTAAAATACAATTAGCCTACATGCAATGTAGTTTGGGGTTTTTCTTTGAGATTTAGAATTTATGATTCTGTTATAAAAACTATACACAACATCTTGAACTTTGTACAAGAGGGTTAGTTTATATATTTACAAATATATCAGGGGTTTAGATCACTTCCCCTTATAGATATTTGTTATCTCTAAAGTTTGAAGTATAGATTCAAATAAAGATACTCACTGAAGAATATTGAATATTGAGTGAATATTATAATCTATTTTGTTTTCAAGCTATTCAAAGATTTTTTAATTATTTGTAGGCTTGAATAACCACCTTTAAAGTTATTTTATAGTAAATTACAGTGTCAAACCTCAATTTTTACAATAGGCCTGCTTCTTGCAATTTGGGCATGGGCCAATTCAGCCATTTGTTGGCTAAAACCCAAAATTTCCATCTGCTCGACAATTCTGTTGAAAAAAACAGGTCTCTTATCTTCTGGTGTCCTGTCAAGCCATTCAAAATAGGCATAATTTAATATAACCATTTCTAACACACCTAGAACAAAAATATAACTTATTAGTGTAGATAGTCATTTAAAATCAAAATTTCTCTATTATACCTAAAAATCTCTTATAAATGTAAAACTTGGTTTATATATTGAATTTTACTTCCGGAATAATATACTAAAACTCCTTGAAAGATAGTACTATGGCCACTATCTTGAAAAATGGTATTTGAAAACCAGTTTTTCCCCAGTAACTCAAAAACTATTCATACTATAAAAGAATATTAAATGTAAAGAGTGTTCACCAAAGAAAGAGTTACAATTTTTGTATTAAGAATGTTTCAATATAATTATTCATTTAATCATAAAAATGTAATATTTATAAAATAAATTTGAAAGCTTAAAAAAAAAATATAAATTGTTATTAAAAGAGGTTTTAAATAATCAATCTATTTAAAAAATTATTTTATTTATTTTAATTAAAAATTGAATTTCTTGAACAGTTTCATAGCCTACCATTAATATAACTTTTCTATTCCATTTATATTTGTTGTGACTTTTAAATGGTACACTGTTATAGACTACCATAATAATCCTATTGGACTTTAAGGTTAAAGGTATAGGTATTTGTGTTAGCATATGATGTAAAAAAATTGTCATTAGTAGAACTTAACTTAAATGCTTACTAGCTTTCTTATCTCCTCAAGGTGTGTAACTGTAAGACTGTTGTATTATCTCTGCTTTGGAGTTAGCAGAGATATATTGATATTCTAACTTTGCTTTGTGGCAATAGGCCTAATCATTTTAAGAAAGATTGATCTATTGCCTGCTCATAGAAGTTAGGCCTAGGTAGTGCAGTGAATTGGGTTAACCACCTTTTGAATTTTGGAACTCTTGTTGTAACATTTAGACAGACAGATAGAATATTTTAAAGGCTGTGAGTGTTGTACGGCTGGCCACCGGACAACTATATCTCTCTCTGTTGTTGGATGCGCGCTCCAACCTATTGTTATCAGCTGAGCCTTGCATTCCGTCTGACTATCCTGTCAAAGTTTGTCGAACGTTATGCCAGTATTTTTTCATGATAACTCTGCCTCAGAACAGCCAGAACTACTTGAGGAGCGACATCGCTGACTCGACTACAAGACCCATTCTTTCTACGTATGTCAACAGATTATATGGAAGCATGGTAAGCAGTATGATAGACCTTTAATTTTTGTTAAAGGAAACTTTTAACTTGAAAACCTAGTCAAAACTCAGAAAAACAATATTTTCTCTCTCAAGTTTTATAAATGAAATCTTAGTTCATGAAAGTAAAACCTGTTGTGTCTATTCAGGAATGATTTAATGGTTTTCATCTTTAAAAACAGTTATTTCGATTTTTTAATGTATTGTACCATAGTAGAATGTTTGTAAAAATTTATTGTTTCAACCTTGAAAAGCTTTGGTAAAATATCTACGAAGTCTTAACCATTATTCCAACTTGTGAAACTACTATAACTAGGGAACAACTTTGTCAAAAACTATAACTAGGGAACAACTTTGTCAAAACCTGTCAATACAAACATGTGCTAAATAGATTTAATTTCCTTGCTGAAACATTTTATGAGGTTAGAAAATGCTTTAACAACTAATGTAGGCTAGGCTAGTTTCAAATCATAATTATTTCAATGTCAAGCGTAAATTCTTAGTTTATTTATTTGTGTTCAATTTTCAAATGTGATGTAATCTTGTAAAGTTTCATGTAGGCCTAGCCCATTCATGTTCAATTTGTGGAAATTGTAAGTATGTGATTTTATGTCAAAAGGGTCTAAAAGTCATTTATGTTTGCCAAAGAGAGAAATAAAATTTAGGTTAGATTTTTGCATTGGTAAAAACAGTAATCACTTAAAGTCAAAATGTATTTTGCCAGTACTGAAAATAATTTTATTATGTAAGAATTTAGGCTGAGACAATTTTTCAAGTTTTATAGAAATAGATTTGATACATCGGAACTACTCCAGAATCTTTTATACTTAATATTTCACAGACTAATTGTAAAACAATTTTTAGTTACCACTCTCATTCAAAGTTCAATGTATAATTTTATTCTGAACTCTTTTGCTGTCTAGTAATGTATTAAAAATATCATGTGATTTAATTGTCGTTTGTGGTAAACAATCAAATAGTTAAAAATATGTTCTGAATGTTAGAGATTTTATAATTTAAAAGATTTGGTTTGGAGATACTGATACTGACTGAGGAATATTTGTGTAATATTGTGATTTTTAAAAGTTGTGTTTGTTTATCAATATTTTGGAACAAGTATTATTACACTTTTGAATATGTAGGGTTTCTGGTTTGGAGGATGCTAGTCTGGGCCCAGAGCCTCACTCTGCTGATGACTGTACCGATCATGACCCTGCTGAAGAGGTTTACCTACTCGACTTAACCTACCCTAACCGGGAAGCAGATTTGTTCGACGAGGGACCTCCACATCCGTATAACTGACAGATGAGTGTAGCTTTAAGAATCTTAGAAGTTGGTTGGACTTTTTAAAAGAACTTTCACTATTCATTACTGCAAGACCTGGATCAAAGCTACTCTAGCCTATTGGGATACTGTTAAAATCACAATTTGAGGATAGCGTTAACTTAAAAATAGTAAATCATAACCTGATGATCATTTGTCTGTGTGTATATAGTATCTGATAACTTGTACTAGGTATATTTATGTAAAGTAATTTTTCAATTTTGAAAAGATATAAGGGCCATACATAAACAAAAATAAATAAATACAAAAATAAAATAAATAAAAAAATACAAGAAAATATTGAAAGTGTTTTATACAAAAACAAATTTTATTCAGATCATTTTACAGTTTAGTATATTGACCATACTACCTACTTGAGTGTAGGCTCTGTTTTTTTGGATAATTAATTGAGTATAGGTATATAAGGTTGATTTCCTGTGGGAATATTTTTGAAGTGAAATCGCTGAACTAGCCTACCAGGTATATATATATATTGTGTATAAGTATAAGGTTGATTATCTGTTAGAATATTTTGAAGCGTTAATGCTGAACTAGATTGTGTGTAAGAATTTTTCGAAGCGAAATCGCTGAACTAGCCTACCTTGATATTTATATATATATTATTTGTGTTTTCAGCTGAACTATTATTAGATTAGGTCATGGTTTCTTATTTGTGCTTGTACTCCTTCAGAATATGTGAAATGTCATTGATGTAG